TAGAGTCTCTATTCTTCATGTTACTGGTGGTTTTGGGGGGGATTTTTGTTCTTTTTGTTCTATTGTCGTTGGGGGGGAAGGGGAGGGGAGGGGGCATTGTGAAATAGTACGAAGTTTCTATTCTTCATGTTGGTGGTGGTTTTTGGGGGATGGTTTAAAAAAAATAAATTTATTTTGTCAGATGAAAAGGGTGGTTGGGGCAGGCATACAAGAGTGTTACGACAGACAACGCTGGTACCAGCTTACAGATTCGGTGAATTAGTAAGGAGTTAAGCTATACTTAACCTGCTTTTACCAATTTTTGTGCAGATGGTGGTGCCTTTTCCTCACTGCTGCTGCTGTTTGTGTGTCCACAGTTACTTAGACAGTGTGGAGAGAATTTCCCAGCTCGACTACCTCCCCACGTTACAAGATATCCTGCGTGTGAGAGTGCCCACAACTGGCATCATTGAGTACCCCTTTGATCTGGATAGTATAATATTTAGGTGAGTTTTTGATCGAATCATGCAACTGTAATAACTTGAGGGTAGTTTTGGTGCATAATTTATAACAGTACGGTGCTGGTATAATGTTGTAATATAATTCGGATGATTATGATACCGTGGAGTCTGCTTAAACCCAGCTTTTGGGTTGTTGGTTGGCGGGTGGTCTGGTGTGGTTTGCTCCTTCTGGCCTATCAAACATCTGTCGTCCTCATCTGATTCTCTCCTCCTTTTTTTGTGTTTGCTACTCTCTTGTAACACTTGTAATCTTTGGTACTTTATGACCTAATTGTGTTGCAAGTGCCATAAAACTCTTACACTAAAACAAAACATATTACGTTTAATCTGATAACAGCGGTAAACTGAAAGAAGAAGCTCACTGATTTTTTTTTTGGTTGTATTTGAGCAACCTCTCTAATAAAACAGAATACCTGGCTAAATCAAAGAAAATCCTGTGGGCCCACAGATTTCGGTTTAAGCGGACTTATTTGTTCTCCAAGGAATGTAGCTGCATTTATAACGATTAAAACACTGGTTAAATATTCGGGTCAACTCTTTATCTCCGGCAAGCTGCTCCCAGCGGCTCAGGGTCGGAACTGCTGTGCCAGTAGGTCGCTTGCAGCGGTTTTGGCACTTTTCTTTACGACGACGTCGACGGCAAATTACTTTTCGGCAATTGCTGAAAACTGGTCTCTTTTATCGGATTTCATTCATTAGATGAAGGCCTATAGAAATGGGTTTACTTGTTTGATTTAGTGACAAATAAGTCGATTTTAGATTTTGTTCCTAAATCAGTGCTTCCACTCTTCCGTATTTTTACGGAAATCCGCACTTTCTGCCAGTTCCGTACTTGTTCCTCCATCATTATCAACTCCCTCCGTAAAAAGCTGAGACAGCGTAGGACTACCGAAATTCCTTAGCAAAAGATCCGTACTCGCCAACGTATCGTCTTGTATAGTATAAGTTACGGATATTTACGGTAATTCTCTCGGCAATAGTTTGTTGTGGTATAGAAACCTGCCAGATTGCGCATTTCCTGCCATCGGCCATTAATCCGCTGTGCCGTAGGCTGACTGCCTGGGCTGTACCCCATGCATTCATTGCGGCATGGTCAGCAGTACATGTTTTACCTGCAGATTGAACAAAATCTGGCGAACTTTTTGTGCCACTTTCCTCCTTTCTATCATTCCCTCATTCCGTCTGTCTATCTTTGGATTGTTGTCGCAGCTGGAGAATCTGCGCGTCGATCAAGTAAATTGACTTGTGATCTTAGGAAATTACTGTCTGAAAGAAACTTTTTCGCAAATTTATTGTCAAGATCTAGAGATATTATCAATGCGAAGATTCTACGGCACGGGAACGCGATAAGGGCCGCGCTGAAAAAAATTTATGCTAAAACTACTAAAATCAAGAATAATTCAAAGTCTTGTTCCGAGGTTGTGACATGTGACGTTCAGATGTGAAAATTGAGGAAAATTAGGGTATACGCTGTCGGGTAACTGTATAGTGAAGGTAGCCTACATATCTATTCATTATTCCCAGGTTTGCCTTCTATCAATGGTGCGATGACAAATTAATTATAGTATAGCAGTAATGGAAGGGGAATCTGCTTTTAAACATTGCCAGCAATGGAAAGATATGTGTGAAAAAATCAAGCAAGACGAAATCTTTGTGAGAAAATAGGTAGTATGGGTTGTTGGCAATCTCTTCAAACAGGCTCCCAAATGCCATTTTCAAACCCTCTAAAAGTACTAAATTTCAATTTCTTCGGGGGCCACGCCCCCTAAACCCCCAGCGGGACGCTGTCCCTGGACCCTGACGGAATTTTCCTTACTTTTCAGCTTCAGCTGGGGGAAGTGCTGCTAAATAAGGCCCCGGCGTAGTGGGTTTACCCCCCTTGGAGATAAAGAGTTAAAAGTTAAAAGGTTCTAATACATACATATTTAGGTACAGTTGTAATATTAGGGGGTTATTGTAATGCATAGAGTCGATAGAATTAAGAAGATATTTACGTGTGGGTTAATGTTTGCCTTTAGGTAAGTGGGGTAAGTTTATGATTATATAATGCTTTGGTGTGTTTTTCATTAGAAGTTACTGTTCATGCGTTTAGGGAAGTTTATGATGAGGTATTTTGGTGTGTTTATATATTTATGCAATGAGATAAGTTAAATGTTTTTGTATTTAGGTAAGGGTTTGGTTTAGTTTTTTTTTCCATTCTTCTATGTGTTGTTATTTGCCTTGCTCATGAAAAACACTTGAGTTTGATCTCCTCATGGGTAAGATGGGTTGTTTTTTTTCAGCATTTCCAGTTTGCGACCTCAGTGCTTTCTTGTCCTATTATATCCATTTTTTAATAACAGTGAAAACAGCTCATAACAAAGAGTGAGCTTAAGAAGAAGTCACGTTTTTAATGTTAAAACAAAATGGAGATAGGATAAGAAGCACTGAAGTTGCGAGTTGCTCTCTTGGAATGTAATATCATATGTGTGGTGACCTCATCACTAATGATCTGATTTGTGCCAGGGAGATATTGGGGGGTTGGGGGTGTCAATAGAATCTGGCTAGTCCCATTCTCTCATTTGCACCACTGTTAACTTGCTTCTGGTATCGAGAGTTACGTGTCATTACGCGCTACTAATGACCCAAGTTTACATAACTGGGTGCCACAATTTTCTTCTACAAGGCATTCACCATCATCATGTTGTTGAGGGTTAAAGTTACATCGTGGGTGGTTGGCGGGTGCTCTGGTGTGGTTTTCTCCTTCTTTCAAACATCTATCGTCCTGATCTCTCCTCCTTTTTTGTGTATGTTGCGAACTTGTAACAGTGGGTGGTTGGCGGATGCTTTGGTATGGTTTGTTCCTTCTTTCCTATCAAACATCTATCGCCCTTATCTCCCCTTCTTTTTTTATGTTTGTTACTTTCTTGTAACACTTCTAATCTTCTGGCGCTCATATGACCTAATGCAGTTGCGAGCTCCGTAAAACCTCTACTAAAACTAAATTGTAACACCTCTAATTTTCGGCACTTATATGACCTTGTTGTGTTGCAAATGCCGTAAAACTCTTACTAAAACTAAAGTTACGTCCTTTTGCTTTCCTCGAAGATTTGTTTTAGTGTTGGTGTTCGTCTTGTTTATTTCTACTGTCATGAAGACATTGTTGCTATCTCAAGAAAAATGAGGAGCCCTCAGTTGCTGTTGTGGTTGAGACGACGGGTATTATGTTCGATTATTTCTGTGGAGTTAAAAATTTCATGATGGGAGTCATGGTGATGGCTTAGGTTTAGATGTAGATAATGATTTTGATGTTTTTGGAAGTGAAGGTCAAGAGTCTCGTGTTCACTTGTTACTTGTCATGAACGACCAACTCGCAGCGGGTGTTTGGAGGGCGCCACTGGTATGTCTTACTTCCTTACTTTCCCCCTGTTGTTTCTGTCTGTCTTACTTTCCCCCAGTGCTAAATGATCATTATTGTGTTGATGTACTCAGTACTGCCTTTTACTCATACAAACAAAATCACTGGTAGGTCCCTCCTTACTTTCCCCCCCTGTTGTTTCTGTGTGTGTGTCAGTCTTACTTTTTTCCCCACACTAAATAACCATTACTGTGTCAATGTGCTTCCTTTTATTCTTCACACAAAACAAAACAAATATGAGGCGTGCTGATAAAATGAGTTACTTCTCACAATCGACAAATGATGGAAATATTTGCCAAAAATTGACGTTACGGTCGAATTTGTAGATTTTCTATTGATGCCTCATTCTTTAACTATAACTATAACCTGTCTTTTTTTACTTCATACTTATAAATTGTAAAAACTTCGCCGATAAGCGTGATGGATCTATTTCCTTAATGTTTGAATCCGAGAAGTAACTCATTTTGCCAGCATTCTTCACGAATGACCAACCCACAGCTCCAGAGTCTCACGATGTTTGCTTCTTATCCGCTCTCCGCAGAATGGTGGATGTAGGAGGCCAGAGGTCAGAGCGCAGGAAATGGATCCACTGTTTTGAAAATGTAACGTCCATCATGTTTTTAGTCGCCTTAAGTGAATACGATCAGGTGCTGGTGGAATCGGACAATGAGGTGAGTGTTGTGCCGACGCTGCTCTTCTCGTCTCCAGGATGTTTGTACGATACCGTCAAAATTGTTTTTATTGCGGTAGGAAATTTGTGGCGCAACTTACCTTCGAATATCTCTTTTAACGGATGAATAATCACTGTCACCCATATTTTGCATAGCAGTTTGTATCAATTTGTCTTAATTTTATTATATTTTTCCACCACAATTGAGACCAGATTAAAAAACTTTTATGTAAAATGCTATAAATCTCCGTCACATGGAAAATTTGAGTGTTCACAGTACTTCCCCCTTCTCACACACATTTTATGTACTCTTATGGCCTACGTCACTGCTTACCAATGACAGTTTTGTTACCAGAAATTAATTTTATAGTGAACACATGTATATGTATATTTTACACTAAAGGTTCTCAAAACATGCGTTCATTAAGCTTAATTTTGCGATTAGAAAAAATGCTGACTTGCTTTTAAAAGCGGTATTGCCCCAACTGTAAACTTTTGAAAATCTGTAGAAACCATCAATTGTTTTTTTTAAATTTTATTTTGTAACAAAATTTCTAGAATACAGTGTACAGGTGTTTGAAAAAATATTCATATGTTAAGACAAAATGATATTGTGCACCACTAGTAGGCTCTACTTTTGACTTTCCCTCAGTTGTCTGTCTTTGGCCGTCTTACTTTTTCCCAGCACTAAATGACCATTATTTTGAGGATGTGCTTCTCTTTAGTCAAAACAAATGAATTGTATTTTGCCTTCACAATGGTTATTTTGTTTCTCTTGTGCTTTTATGGTTGGTTGGCGGGTGCTCTGGTGTTGTTTGCTCCTTCGTTCCTATCAAACAGCCTTGATCCTTATTTCTCCTCCTTCTTTAATGTATTAGTTACTCTCTTGTAAGTGGGTGGTTGGCGGGTGCTCTGGTGTGGTTTGCTCCTTCTTTCCTATCAAACATCTGTCGTCCTTATCTGCCCTTCTTCTTTTTTATGTTTGTTACTCTCTTGTAACACCTTTAATATCCTGGCGCTTATATGACCTTATGCAGTTGCGAGTGCCGTAAAACCTCTACTAAAACTAAACTAAACAAAAACTCTTTGTAATACCTCTAATCTTCGGCACTTGCGTGACCTAATTATGTTGCAAATGCCGTAAAATGCTTACTTAAAGAAAGATCGTGTTTTGCCTTGACAGTGCTAATTGTTTCTCTTGTTGTTCTTCGTTCCAGAACCGTATGGAGGAGTCGAAGGCCTTGTTTAGAACAATCATCACTTATCCGTGGTTCCAAAACTCCTCCGTCATTCTCTTTCTCAACAAGAAGGATCTGTTGGAGGAGAAGATTATGCACTCGCATCTAGTAGACTATTTCCCTGAATATGATGGTGAGTTAAGTAGGCGACTATTTCTCTGAATATGATGGTGAGTTAAGTAGGCGACTATTTCCCTGAATATGGTGGTGAGTGAGGTAAATCGACTATTTCTCTGAATATGGTGGTGAGTGAGCTAGTCGACTATTTCCCTGAATATGATGGTGAGTGAGGTAAGTCGACTATTTCTTTGAATATGACCGTGAGTTAACTTGTAGACTATTTCCCTGAATATGGTGGTGAGTGAGCTAGTAGACTATTTCCCTGAATATGGTGGTGAGTGAGCTAGTTGACTATTTCCCTGAATATGGTGGTGAGTGAGCTAGTCGACTATTTCCCTGAATATGGTGGTGAGTTAATTAGTGGACTATTTCCCTGAATATGGTGTCGGGTTAATTAGTAGACTATTTCCCTGAATATGGTGTTGAGTTAATTAGTAGACTATTTCCCTGAATATGGTGTCGAGTTAATTAGTCGACTATTTCCCTGAATATGGTGTTGAGTTAATTAGTGGACTATTTCCCTGAATATGGTGTTGAGTTAATTAGTAGACTATTTCCCTGAATATGATGGTGAGTGAGCTAGTCGACTATTTCCCTGAATATGGTGGTGAGTGAGCTAGTCGACTATTTCTCTGAATATGATGGTGAGTTAATTAGTCGACTATTTCCCTGAATATGGTGTCGAGTTAATTCTCTACAGATATAACTGATACTTAAAGGACCTGGTTGTATTGCAGGTGCCATAAACTCTTCTGATTGTATTGCAAGTGCCATAAACTCTTCTGATTGTATTGCAAGCGCCATAAACTCTTCTTAAAACTGAAAGTCCCCTCTTTCTTTGTTGTGTTTGTTACTCTCTTGAAACACCTCTAATCTTCAGTGGGTGGTTGGCGGGTGCTCTGGTGTGGTTTGCTTCTTCTTTCCTATCAAACATCTATCGTCCTTTTCTCCCCCTTTTCTTTTTTATGTTTGTTACTCTCTTGTAACACCTCTAATCTTCTGGCGCTCATATGATCTTATGCAGTTGCGAGCGCTGTAAAACCTCTACTAAAACTAAAATTCTAATCTTCAGCACTTATATGATCTTAACTGTGTTGGAAGTGACATACAACCCTTGCTAAAACTAAAACTCACCTCCTTTTATTGTGTTTGTTACTCACTTGTAACACCTCTTGTCTTCAGTGGATGGTTGTCGGGTGCTCTGGTGTGGTTTGCTTCTTCTTTCCTATCAAGCATCTATCGTCCTTTTCTCCCCTTCTTCTTTTTTATGATTGTTACTCACTTGTAACACCTTTAATCTTCAGCACTTTTTTTTGCCTAATTGTGTCGCAAGTGCCGTAAAACAATTACTGAAAGGAAACAGAGCAAGTTTGACAATATTTTTTTCTTTCTTTTCTCTCTCTCTCAGGTCCAAAGAAAGATGCCAGCACGGCCCGGGAGTTCATACTTAAGATGTTTGTTGAGCTCAACCCTGACCCAGACAAGATCATTTATTCTCATTTCACTTGTGCCACAGGTATGGAATCTCCTAGTTACTTCCCCCTCCCCCCTGCCCACCGACTGGTGGGGTTTGGCGGGTAATTAGTTAACAAACATATGATGAAATTAAATACAACTAGGAGGAGGTGCTAGACTTTTAAAGTAACTCAAATTTTTCCACAACACAAATAAACGTATTCTTTCACTCGGAAACAGCTCCTTTCACACCAAATCTTCTGCTATCCCAAATAATTGTCTCCTTTCACTCACAAAAAAAAAGTCTACCTTCACCTGTAACTGTCTTACTTCAACAATTATGCGTCTGCTTTTTACAAACGTCTTTTTAGCACACATGTACACACACATCTATTTTCACACATAAACATCTACTTTCCTAAACAAAAGTTGTCTGCTTTTTACAAAGTATGTGTTGCTTTTACACTCAAACGTCTTCTTTCTCCAATAAGCGTCTTCTTTCATTCATTAATATCTACTTTAACAAGTTAATGTCTGTTCTCTACAAATAAACGTCTACTTTCACCCATAAACGTCTACTTCGACAAGTAAATGTTTATTTCCAGACATAAATTTTTAGTATATTCCTTCTTTTCCCTTACTCTAACTTGTGATCTTCAGTTTCATCTTATTTTGTCTTGTAGTTTGGTTAATTCTCTCTCTCGCTCTGTATATTTCTGTCTGTGTCTGTCTCTTTCCCTTTTCCTCTTTCTCACTTTCTCTCTTTCTCTTTTTCTTTCTCTTTTTCTCCTAAATGTAAAAAAAAAAATTCCACTCTCCCCTCTTTCCAACTCTTTCATCTGGTCTCTTTCAATTTCTCTTTCTCTGTCTCTCTGTCCCTGTCTCTCTCTCTCTCTCTCTCTCT